ATGTATGGGCAAAGACAGGTGATAGCCAGTTTTATTAAGTAGTCTATTTTTTTCCACTGATTTGAAATGCTATCTTCTAAATATCTAAGGAACAAGCTATTCCTAGAAGAGCTCTAAGTAGCCTGTTATGGCTTGTATCTAGGTGTCCCCCCAAAGCCTCATATGCTTATAGGTGGAGCTTTTTGGAAGTGTCTGGATCTAGGGTGTGTGAGTGTGTATTAAGGGTATATGAATATGGATCGAAGATGTGCATATGGATTAAAGGTGTGATAATTGGATTAGTCCACTGATTCGTTTAGCATTGTGCTGGGTGTGGGTAATGGGAAGCCCTACCCTGAGTGTAGTGGCACCAACCAGTAGGCTTGTAGCCTGGATGGAATATAAAAGGAAAGATGGAAAGCAGGCTGCTGTTTCCTACCTACTCTGCCATGGACTGTTTCTCCTCTGCCATGCTCCTCTGCCTTGGAGCCTGCCGACTATGAACTGAAACCTCTAAAAACTGAACCAAAATAAAACAAAACAAAATACCTTTCCTCCTTTAACTTTGGGTATCTGGTATTTTGTCTCAGCAATGAGAAAGTAACCAAGACAAGGCCTCAGGCAGTATATGGCCCCCAGGATAACTGCTCTGTTTTGAAAGGTAGCTATTTGAATGGCATTTTGTGGCGTTCTCAGAATCCTGCTACCAATAGAAAATTTGAAGTTGAATTTAATAATGTTCAGAAACTTGGTGGCCTATGCCCTCTGAGCCTTTCCCAAACATAGGATTGGGAAGGCCGCCCAAGTTGCCCTACCGAAGGGACATGCCTGCTCAGGGATGTGGGATTTCTTTTTGTTGTTGTTTTTTATTTTTTGTGAAAGTATTTTGCTAATACTTTATTGTAGTCTACTCTGTCCTATAATTTATAGTTTTTTAGTTTTAGGAAATCTTAACTTTTTATTTTATGAAAAACACAAATGTTCATAATCAAATAGTGAGAGAATAACAATAGTTAATATACTCTATATCATTATCTCAAAGTAGTTACTCAGAGTAAAGACATCCCTCAAAAGATTCTTTCAAAAAAGAAACAGATACTATGAACTATCTTCAGTGAACTACGATAAACTATTAATATAAATGAAAAAAATTAGAATATACATTGCAATATTTTTAAAACAATGAAACATGTAATTTGGGGAAGTATTTGAACTTCTCCCTACTTTCTATTTATCTCTCTTCTATTTTGCTCTTCATTTATAAATATAGTGTTTCTCATATGAGAATATATATATATATATCCTTTCACTTTGGGTATCTGGTATTTTGGTATATCTTATATATATATATATAACTTCTCATATAAGAAAAACCATATGATATTTGAGCTTGTGTGCCTGACTTATTTCACTTAATATTATGTTCTCAAGTTATATCCATTTACCTGCAAATGCCTCAAGCTGTTGCAGGATATGTGTGCTATTTCTAAGATCTAGCTATTGTAAGTTGTATTGCTGTAAACATGGGTGTGCATACATCCCTGTCATATGATGATTTTAAGAAAGGGATAGCTGGGTCAAATGGAATTTCTACTTCTAGTTTTTTGAGGCATCTCTACACTAATTTCCATAGTGATACTAGTTTACATTCCCACCAACATTGTAGAAGAATTCCCAACATCCTGTCAGCCTTCGTTATTATTAATTTTTTTGATGATAGCCATTTTTGTAGGATAAGATGTTATCTCAGTGTAGTTTTTTTTTGTTTTACTGTCAGTGTAGTTTCAATTTGCATTTCTCTAATAGCCAGTGATGATGAGCATTTTTTTCATGTACAGTGTTTATTGGCTATATGTACTTCTGAAAAGTGCCTATTCATTTTGGTTGCCCATTTTTTAGTTGGGTCTTCTATTTTGGGAGGGATCTAATTTTCTTGTTCTTTATATATTCTTGATATTAGTCCTCTGTCTGTAGAACAGCTAGCAGAAAATTTTTCCCCATTTTGTAGATTGTCTCTTCACTGTTTCTTTTTCTGTGCAGAAGCTTTTTCATTTGATATGATCCCATTTGTTGATTGTCTGTGTTATTTCTTGTGCCATTGGGATTCTGTTCAGAAAATCCTTATTGACACCTATGTCTTCAAGAGTTGTACATATTTTATCTTTGGCAGGTTGTTTCTGTTTAACATTTAGATCTTTGCTCCATTTTGATTTTAGTTTAGTACATGGTGAGATATATAGGTCCAGATTCAATGTTCTGCATGTGGATATCCAACTTTCCTAGCACCATTTACTAAAGAGGGTATCTTTCTCCAGTGTATGTTTTTTGATTCCTTTGTGAAAGATCAAATAGCTGTAAGTACCTGGGCTTGTTTCTGTTCTGTTCCATCAACCCACATGCCTGCTTTTATACTAGTACCATGCTGTTTTAATCACTGTAGCTTTATAGTATAATTTCGGGTCTGGGATTGTGATGCCACCTGTTTTGCTTTTGTTATCCAGATTGCTTTTGCTCTTCTGAGTCTCTTCTGATTCCATATAGATTTTAGGATTTTCTCTAGCTCTGTGAGAAATGACATTGGTATTTTGATAGCAGTTGCATTAAATCTGCATATCAGTTTTGGAAGTATAGCCATTTTGACTATGTTTGCTCTGCCTATCCAGGAACAGGAAATAGTTTGCCATTTTCTGATGTTCTCTTTGATTTCCTTTGTCTGATGTTATTTTCATTGTAGAGGTCTTTCACTTCTTTAGATAGGTTAATACAGTAAGTCCTTTACTTATGAATACTTGAGTTGCCAACTTTCACAGGTGTATTGTATAGGACTCACCTTGTTGGACTATGAACAAATCCAACTTATAAACATTCTCCTGGAGCTTGTGTGTAAGCCGAGGACTTAATATACCTAAGTACTTGATTTTTTTGATACTGTTGTGAATGGTATTGTTTTCCTAATTGGTTTTTCAGTGAATTCTTTATTAGTATATTAATGTTATTGATTGTTGTGCTTATTTTGTATCCTGCTACACTGCTGAATTTGGCTATCAATTCTAGGGGTCTCCTGGTGGAGTTTTGGGGTCTTGTAAGTAAAGGATCATGTCATCTGAAGATAATAATTTGACTTTGTCCTTTCATATATATTCCTTTTCTTTCTCTTGCCTGATTGCTCTGGCTAATGTTTCGAGGACTGTGCTGCACAGGTGTGGTGATAATGAACATCTTTGTCTTGTTCCTGATTTTAGAGGGAAGGCTTTCAGCTTTGAGGGATGTGTTCTTGAAAAAGCATGTTCAAAATGTGTATACCACAGATACTGTTTTCCATAACAGTGGAAAGGGAAAAGGTTAGGAGAACTCAGTAACACTGAACTTTATGCTAGGAGAATAGAGAATATATGCATACAAGATAGCAAGTTTAACCGTGAAAAATGGCTTGTGTCAGGGGAGAGTCACAAGCTTATAAGGTGTCTTAGTTACTTTTTCTCATTCCTGAGACAAAATACCCAACACCCAAGTTAAAGGAGGAAAGGTTTATTTCAGCTCACAGTGTAGAAGTTTCAGGCCATAACTGGCTGGCAGGGTGGTATGGCAGAGGGGCATCACAGAGGAGAAACTGTTTACGGCAGGCAGGAAGCAGCAAAAGAAGTGGACAACAAGTGACAATAGCAGCACTCTTTCTGTCCCTTATACTCTATCCAAGCTACACATTCTGAGGGCAGGCAGTACTCACACCCAGGGTGGGCTGTTCCATTATCCACATTCAGAATTACGCCAAACTGGGCTGGGGGTTTAGCTCAGCGGCACAACGCCTGCTTGGCAAGTGCAACGTCATGAGTTCGGTTCCCGGTACCAGAAAAAAACCAAAAACCAAAAAAACAAAAGAATTATGCCAAACTAATCAGTGAACTAATTTAGTAATCACACATCCTTAATATCAGCATTACACACTTAGATCCAGCCACCTCTGAAAAGCTCCACCTATGACTGCATGAGGCTTTGAGGGGACATCTAGACACAAGCCATCACACAAGGCTGCCCTGCATCACAGGACTACTGTGGAGGTGGAAGCTGAGAACCACTGGGACCCAACTTCAGCTTTTCCCTCAAGAAACAAACACACCATCTGTGTAAAATGTGCCTCCATCTCCTGGCCAGCCTTGTGTTCCAATCACATCACAAATAGAGCAAAAGTGACACAGCAACACAAGCCCAACATGATATGAGATAAATTAAAACAAACCAAAATAAACACAGCCCATAGGAGAACCCTACTGCACACTGGCCTCCCTAGGGACCAGACATGACTGCCCTGCTGCTGGGGCCTGTCAGACACTGCTACGCCAGCAAATCTGATCAGCTGGGTGAGCCCAAAGACTCAAAATATTCTAAATGCAGATAGGCTGGTGTATAGGTTGCAGCCCCAAACTCCCTCCATGTAACAGGTAGGCTCACATATAAACTTGGAATGCTGCAAGTTCATGCTTAAAACAAGTTGGAGAAAGGGTATCACCTCAGGATAGGCTGTGAAATAAATGCTGTCATCCCACTTTGTCTCTTTTTCCCCACAATCCCATCTCTCATTTCCCTGCCATCCTCCAGTGATGGTATATAAGGTGTACCCAGTTAGAGACTCAATGGAGCCAGGAATGATGGTGCATGCCTAGAATCCCAACACTTGAGGAGGCTGAGGCACGAGGATCACAAGTTTAAGCCCAGCCTGGCAAACTTACCCTCTGTCCCCTTTAACACTTTTACCCACTTAGTGAAACACTGCCTCAAAAACAAATAAGGGCTGGAGATGTAGCTCAGTACAGGCCCTGAATGTGATTCCCAGTACTGTGTAAAAAAAAAAAAGTGAACCATTACGAGGTCTGGAGGAGACCTTGCTCAGGGAGCAACAGTTTCACCAGTATCCCCTAAGGCAAATTGAAAGTCACCTGATTGCAGGTCACAGTGAAAATGCAATGGATTAGAGGGCATCCTGGTAACACAGGTAGTAAAGGAAAGCCAAAGCCAAACAGATGTAAAACTAAAACGTTAATGTGATCTTTATTATACAGCACATCCTGTATTTGTGCATCCTAACAATTATATAGAATACTCTATAAAACCAAACCCCACCATTCAAAATTATGCTAAGCAAAGACTTAACCCATAGTTGCATCTCTTAAAAATACACAGTTAACATGGTCCTCCTGTAACAATATGGACAAAGCCAGGTAGCACAAGGAAGGAGGGGGCATACAGAGTTTGTGCCAAGGTATTTTTCTTGTTATTGCACTTTTATTCTACACACTTAGTATGTTACACTTTTAACACTGTAACAAATATTAGTCCTTTAACACAAACAAAAAAACCATTACATAAAGACAAAAGACAACAAGCTATTGGTGACCACTTTTCTCAGCAAGCTGGCCTCCCGGTGACAGATGTTCTCACACTGTCTCTGCCATCACCTCAGCTGGAGTAGATGTTTAAAAAGCAGAAGTTAAACATGAAACAATAGCTAAGAACAAGAGTGCTATCTGGAACCTCCAGGGGAGTTTGTGATAGAAACACCTCAAGGCCACTCCTTTCTTACCCTTCTTATCAATCTAGCTCTACCCCACCCCGATATTTGGAAAAATACACCCTTCATCTTCTTTTTAAGAAAAATGAGTTATTTGAGCCAGCAAACCCAAAAAGCAAGCTTTAAAAGTTCAAAGAAAGTAACTCCTCTTTGGTGATGGGCATTTCCAGGGCTGTTCATCCTGCTCTGATGCAGTGCCAACTTCAGAGGCTTCCAGATTGGCCCAGTGGAGCACCAAGTGTGGCATCTCTGTAAATCAAGGCCAGAGGTTGCCTCAGTATCTCACGGTGCTGCTGTAATCACACCCCCCACTCCGGGCTTCTCAGTGCTAAATAGTAAACCAAAAAATGAAGTGTCATTCAGTGTAGCTGTCACCTCTCAGCCCTGACACTCTAGTCGTTCTATCAGGAGAAGCATTTCCCAACTCCTTTGTTCTGGGTTTTTGGTACTGGGGATGGAAGCCAAGGTCAAGCACAGGCAAGGCTGCACCCTGCCACTGTGCTGCCCCTCAGCCCTCCAAGCCCTCTTTTGGCAGCTCAAGCAAAGTTACAAAAATCCGTTCGGAAGCTGACAGATACTGGTCAAGAGTTCTACCATTCTCCTGTTTCTATCTGTGGTAGTAACATACCTTTTCCCCTACTACTTCTTTGAGCTTTAGTGTTTAAAAAATAAAATACGAGCAGCTGCTGCCTAGACTCTGTCCCCTTAAAGGTGATGGAGTCAGATATGACTCTTTGGTCCGGCAACAGCAGCGAAGCCCTCCTGCCCAGAGCCGTGGAAGGCTTGCTCAGTCAAGGATCCACTCTACAGAGGAGCGGGGGAGCAGGGGAGCAGGGAAGCAGGACATCAGGAGGGCAGGGTCTGCCTATGGGCACCTCCTCTGGACCAGCATCGCTCACTTGTACTGTAAGCTCTAGGCACAGGGTCACTAGTCCAGGGGCCCAAGCTTCACTGCAGTTTCTTCTGACTGCACTGCAGGAAGGCCTCTTGCTTGGTTCTGAAGCCAAATGAGCAACCAGACTTCAAGCTCACGAAAAAAGGCCAGGTGATATTTTTGGGGTGGGGTAAACTGCCCTCATTAAGTTTTTTAGAAGGACTGAACACAGTAAGGGTAATTTTTCAGGCCAGGCTTCTTCCTCCCTCAGCCATGATCTTACCTCACCACTTGGGAACACAAACAACCAAAACTTGGAAGTAAGAGCCTCAGGATATTGGCTGTGATGTGCCCTGTCCTGCCCAAGTACTGCCACACTTCTCAGAATATCTAGTGTCTTCTCAAGTAGTATACAATACAGTACTTTTCATGGCATTCCATAATTTTAATTATAATAGGTGCCAAGGGAAAAAAATCCAAAATTAGCTAACAACGTTATACAACAAAAGTACACATACATTATACACATGTGGGTACATATTCCTGCACTCAGCCTGCTGAGTATTTAAATAACAGCCCCAAATATCCATATGTAGACTTTGGTTGGCCTGGACACTTCCAGGCATATCTTGCACCTTTTCTCAGAATACTTTTTTATAATGAAAGTAACTACTCACCTCCTTACCTAGTACCAGTCCCCTTGCCCTTTCCACTAGGCAAAAATGTCGGCAATTTGACAGAAAACTGGTATCTGAGAGTGGACTAACCACAGGAGATGAGCTGAAAAGGGTCTCTGGCTGGGAAAAAATTTAACTTCCCGTGTGTAATGGGAGTTTCAGCTAAGACTTCCAAAGAACATTCGGAATGTGGTCTTCACAATGGAAGTACAGACTCCTGATTATACTAGAATTAAGAGTGTGGACTGGAAAGGGGAACTAACTATGTAAGATTTTTCTTGGAATTTCATAGAGAACAGATGTACAACGATTCTTTGGCAGAGACTACTTATTCCTTAACTTGACATGCAGCTTCCTGGAGCCCCATCATCATCCCCAGAAGGGCAGTAAGTTAATGTCAAGGGGAATAGAGTAACTGAAGTGTAGTTAAATAGGTGTTAAAATTCTACGAGATATGCTGAACACTGTACCAAAATGAAGTTGGAGCCAATGCCCCAAAGACACTGGTCAGTCACTTACTTTATCATTTAAATGTAAAAAGATGTATAGCATTACATGAAGTTCCTGAAGGGGCTGCAAGTGCTGAGACTGCTACTGTGCTCAAACATATCATAATCAGAGCCTAGGATGGCTAAAGTTTTAAAACTAAACTTTAAGTTATATGAAAGTTATTATATACTCTGCTTATACTTTGTTAATATGTAAGGGCTGGTCATTCAGTTACAACCCTAGAAAACCCCAGCGCTAATGTAACACTCATCTTAAACACCTACTCCGGGACCTACTTCACACTTTGAAGCTGGACAGAGCACCCATCCATAGCCCTTGAGATTGGACAGATGCATGGAGGCTGCCCACCTCCATGTCTACTCCTTCACTGACCTGTGTTTCTACAGCTCACAGACAGTTTTGTGGAGCAAGGCTTGAAATCAAGAGCTGAGATACACCAATATTTCAACTGCTCCCCATCTCAGCCAGGAGTCAGTTTTTCCTCCTCAGACACAAAGACAGGGTGCTTTCCAGATAATACACAAAACTGGTCTTCTATTGTTTTTTTTGTTTTGTTTTGTTTTTTGGTGGGGAAAGGTCTGGTTCCTTTTTCTTCTAACAGATTATATTTAAAATAAGGTAAAAGGAAGGTATAGAAGAAGCCTTGGCTTTTTAACCACTGGTTAAGCTCTAAAAGTATTAGTGCCTTAGTTTCAAACACAAAAAGAAGAGTTTCTATGAAAATCAGCTGGTACCCTTCTAGGAGTTCTCTATGCAGGCCATGGGTATGACCCTTCCCAGCTCTCAGGCCTCACCCACGTTTCACACTAGGTTGGTTCTGCTCAGACACTCACACCCCAGTATCATGTGCTCTGCAGTCTGGAACTGTGCCACCTCAGACCAGCAGAGGGCTGTGAGAGGGAAGACCCATAGGCCAAAGAACAGATTCTGTTCTGGAGTTAGCAGTAACTCAAATCCAACAGGTTATATACATATATACATACATATGCACATGCCTTTTTTTTTTTTTTTTTTTTTTGCCTCTTGGTGATGTAACAGTTAATCCCTCCCCTAGAAATTAGGGATGTGTGGCCCTATAAATGTAAACACACTGGCACAGTGAGGAACAGCAGTCTTGTTTCTAGCTTCTTAGCTGTACTATTACAACCTGAGATCCCTGGTTATAGATAGCAAGAACCAGGCAACCACGATGTTTTCTTTTCTGTCCTTATGTTCACAGAATCCTGAACTAAGGTCAAATTTTCTAAGTGGTCCTAACCATTGGGTAGACTCAAACTATTCCTAGCCAGAGCTGACATCATGAAAATGATGTTTTTAATACTACTGCCACTACAGTGCCCTACTTTTTGTCTCAGAAACATAATACAGTGAACAGACAATGGTAACATTTGCCTCCTTTTCTGTTTTGAGGCCAGAACATCCCATGTTCCACTTCTGCACATCTTAGACAATTTTTTGCTGAAGGGGTAGTATGGGGGATCAGTGAACTGCTCCAGTCGCTCTGCAGCCATCCAGCTCCTCACTGCCTAGGAGCCATCTCTGGCAAGGTCTCAAGCTGCTCAGCAAGCACCAAGTCCCCCATGAGCTCCCTATAGTGAATAAATGTCAAATTCTCCCCATTGCCAAAAGGTGAGGGGAAAGAAAGAAACAGTGGGGGAAAAAGGTTTTTGCTTTCAAATAGAATCATCTAGTCCTCTGTTCGGCTGCTCGAAACTTGACTTGCAGAGACGGTCCATAATGCCCTGGAGCATAGGCTGGACAATGCCCAAGAGAGGCCTCTTAGAGGGGTCACCATCCCAACAGGCTTCCATCAACTGCCAGCACTCTTCATCAAATACAGGCAAACGTTCTGGACGGGCCCCTAAAGAAAGGAGCACAGAGATAAGACCAGTGAGTGAGGAGGGCACAGCAGCACATGCCTGTAATCCCTTGGATGTTGAGGCAGGAGCATTATAAGTTTGAGGTCAGCCTGGGCAACTTAGTGACTCTGCAAGACCTTCTCTCAAAAAATAAAAAAGGGTTGGGGATATAGCTCAGTATGAACACTCTGGGTTCAATCCTCAGTCCCACCACCACCACCAAATAAAAGACTAGTCAGTGAGGTGGGCCCAATACAAAGAGCTGATCATGCAAATTGGGGCACAGGATACTAAGGAATGCAAGCTTTAGCTCCCACTGCACACATCTAGGTTAGAACCTGATAAGAACAGTGATGGGAAATTGGAATGCACTGGCATAGAAACTGAAGAATTGTAAAGTTTAAAAAAAAAAAAAAAAAGCACTTTTTAGTTAGTTCAATACAGTATTGTCTGGAAACAAAGGTTTGACTTAAAAGTGTCTTTTTGGGATCCCACGACGGTGTAAGTGTATATGTGGTCCAGCTGTGGAGTGGCCAGAGGGTGATGGGGCCCCTGCTGCAGTGCCTGGGCTCAGTCTGCTCCACCAGGGGTGTCAAGGTAGAGTGGGGCTTGTGGCTCTTACCTTTCCGCACGTTGTTCCAGAGATGGTCTTTGCTAGCGCACCTCTCAAATGCTTCAGGAAGTTTGACAGAGCCTGAGCAGATATACCAGAAAAGAATCCCAAAAGCATAGACATCCACGGAATTGTCATACTTCCCTACAGCAGGAAGGGGTGAGAAACAGTGAGCCAAGGAGAGAAGGGCAGCAGCATCACACCACGCTGCGCCTGCAAGTCATTACACATTTTCTTCTAAGGCTTTTAACCCCCACCACCTTTCATAACAACCTTGCCATGCAGCAGGGCACACTTATAATCCCACTTCACAACAGAACAATATGGTAGCAAGAAGTCAAAGCTAGGCATGAAGAGAGTCAAGACCAGAACTTGACAAAGGAGGAGAGTCATGCCTTTTAGCTTCATGGACATCTACATAATTAATATTGGGTCACACTGGGAAAATATAGGTGGGTGATGGTAGAGTACATGGGAACCAGTATATAACAAGTTTTGAAGGCACAGAGAAGAGTCTGGATCTAATGGGCAGCAAGAAGTCACATGTTTTACACAAAGCGGTAACCTGTTTTAGCCTATTTTATTTTCTTATTTTTTTTAAATTCCCAGGGAATGGACCATTCAGGTACATCCCCAACCCTTTTTAATTTTTGAGACAAGTATTGCTGAGTTGCCCAGACTGGCTTTAAATTTACAATCCTTGTGCCTCAGATTCCCGAGTAGTTGAGATTACAGCTACTGGGATTAAATATGAATAACAGCCAAAAACAGAATAACAGTAGTGGGAACAGAAATTTAAAAACAAAAACAAGAGAAAGCTAGGGGCAGAAAACTGATGACTATCCACTTGGTTCAGATGTGGGCAGAATAACAGTTGTCTACCTACTTCCTAATGCTTACGTAAGGGTATCACTTAATGAAGAGTTGGGGAAGACATGTACGAAATGAAATCAATTCAAATACACTACTGATTTTAGCTGGTATTAATACTCATGATTAGGTCAACAATCACTTTTCTGTCTTCCTTGGCAAAGTACAATCATTCCCTATTCACTCAGGCTCAGAAGTTTATAGTCATCTTTTAATTATTCTTTTCTGTTCATCACTCAGCAAGTTAATAACAAAATCTTGCTTATTCTTACTCTGAATTGATCTCAAATAAGCCACTTTTTTGTATCAGCATTAACACCACCCTGATCCTGGAGATAACCTAAGTGGCCTCCTCCCACTGGTACTTGTCACTCAAATCCCCATTGCGCTAACATTCCATAAACATTTTCCTTTCATCTCTTCCCTGGGCAAAAGCTCAACAGCTCCTGACTTTTTGAACAATAAACCTAACTCCTGTACAAGCTCAGTGTATTTATCTCCAACCTTGTTTGACACTGTTCTCAAATAGGATTCTTTTTTCCCCTGTCATGTTTATTTGTATTCTACAGTTTTCATCAGTATTTCCCTTCTCCAACCCCTAGAAGTTTTCTTCCTTCATTACATGTGCTTGGACTCTGAACACAGAAAGATCTAGATTCAGATTCCAGGACCATGGCCTTCTAGCTCAGTGTTTTTGGGATGAGTTACTTCATGAATCTGGTCTCAACTCTATCCGTGAAATGGACATAAAAGTACCTCAAAATCAATACAGAATTATTGAAAGGATTAAACAAAACAAAACATAGACACTGCCTCCCTCAGAGTCTACACTGTAAGTTCCCTTCCCACCCACCAATTTTTCCAGATCAGATTCGTTCTACCACAAAACCACCACACATTTCAACCTTTACTAAACACCAACAGAATATTATATAGCCATTACTTTAGCATTTAATCACATACAGCCTCAAGCTGCTTCCAAATTGCTTTACTCCCAAAATATCTCTATGTCAATTGTAAATTCTTTAATGATAGAGGACAATTTTATTATATAAGAATTACCTAATTCTTTATGATCAAATAATGGGCTGATTTAGGCAAGTGTGGCAATAATAACTTAGACATGCAAAAGACTCTCTTTTCTTTCTCAACTCTTTATCCCTGCACTTTCCCCCTTATCTGCCTTAGGCTTCCCTGTTCTCATTTCATCCTCGCCTGTATCAGACCTGCCAAGAGTACCTGTGCCTACTACTCGGCCTAGGGAAATTACTCAGCGTTAGAGTACCGAGCCCAGCCCAAACACACTCCCTGCCCCCCTGCTGTACCTGTGAAAAGTTCAGGGGCCATGTGGATTGGTGTCCCCACAATGCTGCCTGACATCATGGCCTCTGGCTTGCAGAATCCTAAGTCTGTGATCTTGGCACGGTTCTGTTTGTCCAGCTGCCAACAAAACAGGATGACAGTCACCTTGTCTCTGATCCTGCACACAGCTCTTAGTTATACACCTAAGCTAAAATAAACTCTTTCTCCAATCTCCTTATCCCCAGATTCATTCCCATTACTGTCCTCTTCCCCATAAGCAATATGAAGGCTGGGACTGCTTCTTTCATCCTTGTATCCCTGGCACCTGGCATAGTGCTTGGCATATATATCAGGATTTTTCTAAATCTTAGAAGAATAAATAAATGAAAGTCCACAGAAATACTGTATACTGAGGAAAATTTTTTAGCTTTTGGTTGTTCTCCTGACCCCAGGACAGAAAACTGAGGTCTTCTGGTCAGTTGAGATTCCTGAAATTCCTGCTGTTTGCTTTCGTAAGGATCCAAGAAAGAGCTGGGGGTACAGCTCAGTGAAGAATACCTGCCTAGCTCTACCCTTGTGCAACGTCCTGGGCTTGATCCCCAGCACCACAAAAAATGAAAAACAAACAACCCCCCAAAATCCATGAGAATAAATCTGTCTCATTTAGCTATTAAGTTTCAGCCTACAATTTTAGGGGCATCTTTCCTGTACCCCAAACTGCTGTCATCTTTATATGTCACTGAAATGATGTCAGAAACACCTTCATGATACTCTAAAATTTTTTCAAGAAGAATATGTCAAAAGATTCTTTATAATTTAGGTAACAGAACTGATGAGCTCATGACTATCTTTACTTACCTTTACTCAGCTCTCATCCAGCATCTGCAATCAAACCCTAAGTAATAACAAAGACCTAGACTCCCCCAATATCAGTGTAACAAAAGCCAAAACAGAAGGACTACTGTAGATTAAACGAGACTGAAGAAGTACGACAACAAAATTGACTGCATGGTCCTTGGCCTAGATCCTGGATCAAATTAACGGACCAGTTTTGGAGCAACTGAATATATGAGGGGAGGAGAGATCAGAACAAGTTAATGTAGACTGTGTGCATGTGCGCATGTGCGCATGTGCGCGTGTGTGCATACATGTGTGCGTGTGTGTGCACGTGTGTGTGTGTGTGTGCATGTGTGTGTATGTGTGTGTGTGTGACACTGAGGATTAAACTTAGGGCCTTCATTCTGAGCTACATCCCAGCCCTTTTTTTATCTTGAGACAGGGACTCATTAAGCTGGTAAATTGCCCAGGGTGGGCTTGAACTTCCAATCTTCCTGCCTTAGCCTCCCATAATGCTGGGACTCCAGGCATAAGCCACCATGCCAGACTAGATTACATATTAAATAACAGTATGATATTAATGTTAAACTTCTTGAATGTGACAATGACACTTTACATAGAAGACTGACTTTCTTCTTAGGAGATAATGGTGAAGTATTTAAGAATGACGTTTTACCTGCAATTTACTTTCAAATGAGCACAATAAAGAAAGTGCCTGTGTGTGCATGTAAATGTATAGAGAGAAAGAAAGTAAGAAAGTAAGTGAACATACTAAGAGAAATAGTGCATACTGATCTTGGTGAAAGGTATATGGGTTCCCACTGTACAACTCTTATAACTTTTCTGTAACATTAAAAAATATTCAACAGGAGAGGGGGGAAACCTTTACAATATAAGGCAGGTCTATGTTGAAACAGCTCTGTAAGCTTCAAGTCCAAACACCATCTATCCAGTATGCTATGAACTCTACTACTTTCCACCTAGACTTTTACTAGGACCAGAGTACATTTCTATGCACCCTCTAAAACGTCACTTAGCCCAAAGAAGTAGGCTATCTTCTTTGAAACAGCTCTGACTTACCAGCACATTTTTCAGTTTGATATCACGATGAACAAGTCCCTGGCTGTGCAGGAAGCGGATCCCCTCCACCACGTCTACTGCTATCTGCAAACGCGTCTCCAGGGTCAGCCCAGCCTTGGGGAGACAGAAGAGCTTACTTACCACAAGCAAAGCAACATCTCAGTCCAACTCACTTGAACCAACAGAGACTTCCTTCTGTGAGGGACTAAAAGACTTCACCAGGGCACAGGAAGACAAAAAATTTCATGGTAAAAAAAGGGAAAGAGGAAAGCAGGTAAAAAAGGAGAGAGAAAGAATACAAAGCCAGATAAAATCCTTTTCAAGCTGCAGTTGAGCCAGCTGGGCAATCCCCACAGGTGACGAAGAGAGGTACAACTGCATGACTGAGGCATGAGGTCATTTCTAACACGCAAACACCTCTGGAACTGCCAAAGCTCAAAGTGAGTGTTTAGGTCCCTCAGGCAGATTTACTTCCTTTCTTTTTTTTTTTTTTTTTTTTTTTTTGTTTTTCTCCGGCACCGGGAACCGAACTCACGACCTTGCGCTTGCCAGGCAGGCGCTCTTGCCGCTGAGCTAAATCCCCAGCCCCTTACTTCCTTTCTTGACAGGCCTTGTTAGCCCAGGCTTGGTTTTATGGATTCAAATACCAAAATTATTCATATGACTTTAACTTAGGGTCTCTTAAATTCCTAGAAAATGTCATGTCACTTATCCAAAAAACTGAATGGGGTTCTCTAGCATACCTGTGAAAAGCATCAGACACTACTAAGCTTAACTCCTCTGAGATAAAAACAGAAAACCACTTGGACAGTAATCTCCTTCGTCACACCTCCTGGGAGTATTTCTGCTTTCTCTGTCTTACTTCTGGAAGCTCTTTATAAACCTGTACAAGGGGTATCTTGGAGACAGGACCTACCTAGATATACTGAAGTCAGCTTTTCTCTTCTACTGAGCCCCAGTGTAGGGAACAAACAAAAGTAACTTCTCTATTTTCCTTTTGGTGGTTGTTTTAGGTGAGGGAAACGCAACGTCCAACTAAGGGTTTCATCTCCACCCAGTTTTTCAGTTGCATATTTCAAAAAAATCAAGACCATATCAGTGATTTCTGTCTGCTCTACTCCTTACTAGGGCTTGTGTTAGAATGTAAAGATTGTTTAGCTTTTCATTTTCTACAATAAACTTGAATTCTGTGGAAATTCTCAACATGTTGGGTCTTGTATAATTTACTCCTAATCTCTGCACATTATCTCCCCCGATTCTCCAGAGGAAGCAGATGCTCCCACATGCTTAGTGTCTTTCTTGGCCTTTGAATACTCTGACATTATGCTGCTCCTTCCCTGAATGGCCTCTTTTTCCATCTGTCTAGATCCTGTCCATCGAGATATACGTGTCAAACTCAAACTCCACATCATCATGAAGTAGTCCCTAACTATAATTCTCTTAAAAGATCCTAAAAATTATACTTTTTGCTATCACCTATTGGTGCTTAATACATAGTAGTCACTAACAAAATATTTTCTGACTAAACAAAATTGGCTTTCTCCAGGGAAAACAAAAAAAGAGAAAGAAGAATAGTTATAGAAAGCTTTTTTTGTTCTTCTAAGGAGTCTAGATTTTGACCACCACCATCAGAGGCCAATGTTGTGAATAGCAGTACTCTGGATATGTACTGGGACAATAAATAGTTAAGCTTTTTTGGAAATAAGTGTAATAAAGCCTGATACTCCAACAACTGCTTATGAAAGCAACAGGCTCTGAATCAGTGGGAAAGGATAAAAGGCTGGAAAGAAAGTGATGGGTCTGGGTGGGTCTCATGCCCCCGCCCCCTTGCCTCACCTCACCTTCAGCCCTGTGTAGAGGTCCCGGTGCAGCCGCTCCATGATAAGCAGCACAGCAATGCTGGAGCCACCACCATAGCTGTAGTCAATGACTGACCCATGGAGGTCCACCAACCGCTCATGCTTCGGCAGAGACCTGTGGGAATGCAGAGGTTGGGCTACATGACCAGCCAGGATGAGGAAGGAATAAGCCCAAGGCCACAATTATTCCAGGTCCAGAGGGAATGGTCCTCAGCGTAAACTCTGCACAAAGAGAATGGCCTCTTCACCCAGAACAAAGCAGCATGGAAATAGCAGAGAAGCAGGAGCCTTAATAACTAAGGAAGAAAGATAACAGAACAAGGAGTCTGAAGATGGTGGGGAAAGAAGAAGCAAAGACAGTGATGGCCTTAAAGAGAGCTAGTCCCACAAACACTAGCCTACACATTTTGAAACCAAGGTATGGCGAAACGGCATGCTGTAGGTCTTGGTACAAAACTTATTTCAGACTTCAGGCTTCTTTTCTGGATTTTCCCCAAAAAGATGAATGAAACCAGAACCCACCTCATATAGTGAAACTCCAAAGCCAGATCATTCCAGTGCTTCTCATCAGGAGGGACAACTGACTTGAGGGCACAAGGGAAGTGTCCTCCCCAGTTGTCACACAGGTACACCACACCATACTGTCCCCGGCCCAGTTCCTGTCCCAGTTTAGGTTTACCTATAAGATGCAAAGACAGAGCTAAGGCAGGAGGGACAGGAGCTTACTGGGCAACCTCTGCTTAGAGGTTGTCATAATCAGGAAGTCATAATCATGCCAAGGGAAGAAATTCTAATGTAGTCCACTGTAAACCAGTGGAAAGTAGCCTAGCTGGTTACTTTAAACTTTGGTCATGTTATTTAAGCTGTATAAATATCGACCAGACAGACTTCTGGAATTCAAAAACATATCAGTAAGTACTTAGGGAGATCTGCAAGGAAGCTGCATGGGACAATGAGATCCTTGGAGGATAGACATAAGGTCCAGGGGCCCCAAACTTTCCTGCAATTTACTTGGAAAAACATAAGGACTCACCATGCAGCAAGACATCCTGTAAAGACCGGCTCTCCAGAGAAAGGCGGGCCAGGCGCGGGGCATGATCTTTCCGAACCTTTAGCCACAGATCTTCCGTCTTCTCCAGCCGGCCTGAGTGGCCAGCTTCCAGCTGAGAGGGAAATAGAAAAAGTCAGACTACTTATCCCTAGCCTCAGCTTCCTCACTTGTAATATAGGAGTAATAATACTGACCTCATAGGGTAATTACAAGAATTAAATTACACATGTATGTGACATGTTCAGCACAGGGACTAGCACATATACTATCAATAAATAAGAATTTTGCCTCTTGGATTTATAATCACATCTATTCATTCCTGCAAAAGCCAAACAAATAACAAATCATATACCCGTGAACTAGAAAGAAATTAGAAAATCATCCCTTTCTGCCATTCATGCCTAAAATATTATATAAATTAAGTTCCTCCTCCATTTTTTCTCACTTAGTGAAAGTGGGGGTGGGGGAGTTAACTGAGCTCCCACACACTCTAGAATGAGAAAAATATCTATGTGAAAGCCTATTGATGAAATTTCCTGTAACATAACATTATGCTTTAAGAGTAAAAAGTACACTGATTTTTTTTGGGGGGGGGGTCGTAATAGGGATTAAACCTAGGGCCTTTGCACTGAGCTACATCTCCAGCCCTTTAAACTTTTTTTTTTTTTTAAATTTCAAGACATGGTCTCGCTGTTGCCTAGGCCAGGCTCAAACTTGTGATCCTCCTGTCTCAGCCTCCCAGAATGCTGGGATTATAAGCATTTTAAAAAATCATATAGGAAGTGTAACATCTGCCTAAGGCTAAGGCTCTTTTCTGCATATTCCAGCTGCACCTCCTTTTCTACATACCAACCTGTCGCAAGGAGGCTGCAAAAGCCTCATGAGAACTATTGAGCCGAGTCCGGAATTGGCTGCAAATGCTCTTGGCCAGCTTGGAGGCACTGAGGCTCTCGATGGCGTCCTGGGCCACCTTCCTCTTCCACTCCAGAGTGATGGCAGGTGGGCTCACCCACGCGATACGCTGGATGATCTGTCAAGATGCAGACAGTGGGATCGCTGAGGAATGGAGAAAGGAACTACTAGAAGGCCCAACAATCACCTCCTTTTGCAGGCTATATACTCATTAGGAGTAGGCTCCTGAGACAGGTGCCGAATGAAGTTCAAGTTGCTCTCCAGTTCAGGGCTCAGCCCAGAGGTAAAACACTAGACCTCCTATACCTGCTTGCAAACCTTCAGTAAGTTAAATTCAGTGTCTAGAAGTGCCTGAATCTGAAATTAGTAAATAACTACGTAAGACCCAGGTCCAATTCTAGACCAGACCCACACTCTTGGCCTCTGGCAACGACAACACCTAATTCTGAGACATTTAGCCTGGAAAAAAGAAACATGAAGGAGCAAGTGAAGTGGCAGCCTATGGCTACATGAATTTTTTTTTTTTTTTTTTTTTTTTTTTTTTGGCGGGGTTGGGGAGGGTGGGGGGTGGTTTCTGGTACCAGGAATTGAACTCACGACCTTGCACTTGCCAGGCAGGCGCTGTGCCGCTGAGCTAAATCCCCAGCCCACGAAATATTTAAACCCACCACTCTTTAAGAGTTAAAGGAGCGCTGTTAATAATTATTTGAGAATAGACATAAACCATAATTCTTCCAAACAAGCAGACCAGAACTCATGGATACTCTACCTCAACAACAGCTCCTAGGTCTCTGTTTTCTAGTCCTAGAGTGACTAGGATACACAGGAGTCAACTAAGAATGGAAATTTTTTTCTCTTGCTAATTCCCACCTGCTTGATTTGTTCCCAGAGCATCCTTGTAACTGAGGACCCTGAGTGAAACGTGACTTCAACATGATAGGCAGCATTTAAGATCTGAAAGAGAACACATAAAAGGAATCTGCCCTGAGTAGAGTGGCTATTTAAAAAAGCAACAAATATTTACTTCAAGTATATAGAGCAGTCTCAAGGTTTCCAAATTTATCCTTGAATGTATTACAGAGTCAACAAAAGTTGATCATCTATTTTATGACTAATTAGGCCTTTTTCACTTCTTTGTTCCTCAACTGTCACATTTTATAGCTCACCAACACCTTCCACAGGCAGTGGTCATTTGATAGGAATAAATAAAATTCAGACTGGACAGGCAAAAAGTTAAAAGGGAAGTATGTTGGCTAATTTGAAGTGGGGATTGTGCATGAACTGTTCCACTGCTATCTGTGACAAGGTATCTTAGCAACTATTCTTTGCATACCTGTTTGAGATAATTACTGGTGATGTGAACTGAGACATCCTGAGACTTCTCCAGGCTCTGCAGACACCGCTCCAAGGTTCCAACAAAGCTCTCACGTAAGTAATCCACTGAGCTGATCAGCTTGTTAGCCACTGCCTGATTAAGCCGGGAGATAATGAGTTCCTGGATCTGTCGGATGCAGCATTTGATCTCTCTGGTGCCTACTGGTTCTCCATTCTGGGGGATAATGACATCTGTGGAGGCAGAGAAATGAGCTGGCTGGTTGTGAAGGAAAAGGGCAGGCATCTCCTGAGACACAGCCAATGAACTGCCATGAGGATGGTTACAAAAAGACATGGGTGGTTGATGAACTCTGACCCTCAGCAGGACCACAGACCAGGTAATGTTCAACTACTTGTGGCAAGCTGGGAGTAGTGTTGCACCCTTGTAATCCCAGCACTTGGGAGGCTGAGACAGGAGGATTACAAGTTCAAGGGCAGTCTCGGCTACATAGTGGGTTCAAAGCCAGCCTGGACTACAAAGTGAAAACCTGTCTCCACAAACACAACTACTTGTGGCAGGTAAGATCCTAAGAGAAACAATTATAGTCTAAAATGAGATGTTGATTTTGTTAGCTTTACATCATATTTATGGAAGGGAGGAAAACATTAATTGAATGTAAACTATTTGAAAGGCGCATGTAATAAACATTTCACATATGTAACTAATTTTATCTTCACAGTAACTTTGCCAGGTATGTTACTGGTTATACTTTATAGATCAGGAAACAGTCTCAGAAACAAAATAAAGTGAGTACTGGGAAGGAAATATGTAGTCAGGAAGTAATACAGCTAGCATTTGAACCCAAAGCTCACTGATTCTAAAGTTTGTCAACTATCACACTGTCTACCATATTAATGAGAAGAATCCAAGAGTTAGGAATTTATCAATTACTAGATAAATAAAAAACAAAACTCATTTGTTGGCCCTACCATGCCACTACCTCTCAGAATTTAAAAAATTTAAAAAAAAAAAAAGGTCTACTTATAAACCTGACAGAAGCTATAATGGTTGATACATTGTGTCAACTTGAGAAGTCTAGAAGCTTAACTAAGTAACTCAGCAGTTCTACATCCTAGGGTATAGAGGACATGCCCTTACTGCTCTAGGATGTTGTTCACTGTGTCAATTTGAGAAGTTTAGAAGTTTGACTGACTCAGCAGGGAGCCAGGGTCCTCACTTTGTAAACATCCTAAGAGTGTGCAAGAGGAGGGCATGGAGATGGTGTGAATGTTACACCCATCAGAGGGCAGACAGTCTGCATATAATATAAAGGAAGAAAAGAGGTTTATTCCTCCTTTTTTGCTCTTGTTGCTTTTGCTGTCTTCTGCTGCCTTGAAGTGTTGCCTCTGTGCCATGCCACCCTGCCTTGGAGCCAGCTGATTATGGACTAAAACCTCCACAAATTGTGAGCCAAGTAAACCTTCCCTCCCTTAATTGTGGGCATTGGGTATTTTGTCTCAGCAACAAGAGAAAAGTAACAAAGACAGAAGCATTTAAGTCAAAAATGATCACCCCTACCAAGGCACTCTCAAGTTCACTGGTGGAAACTTAAATTGATACCATCTCTTCAGAGGAAAACTGGCAGTTATCTATCAAAATTTTCGACCAACAATGAAAAATTTACACACCCTTTGAACTATCTGCTTCTAGAAACTCTCTTTCTAGAAATATATCCTTACAAATCTCAAACATGCATCTACAATGATGATCAATATATACACTTTGTAATCACAAAAAGAAAAAAAACACCTAAATGTCCATGAATAAGAGAATAGTTAAATATATTAATTAAGGTATGACCATTGGAAGAAAACAGACTTGTATGCACCTTTTTGGAAAACACTCTTAAGATATATATTCAAAAAGTGAAAAAACAGGATGTAAAATAACATAAAAACTAGACGGCAGGGGAGGGGGTCTTTGTACCTTTGAATTAAGTACTATGTATGCATGTTTTATTATTTTTTTAAAAAATCAATATCTTACAAAGCATGTTTATCATTTACCCAGGGTATATGCATTCATCTTTATTTAAAGATAAATAACAGTAATAAAAATCTGACTTCAAAGGAAATGTGGTAGCTCTCTTCAACTTATCATTGCCTTAAGAGTGCTCAGAATAGATTCTGAACAAGGTAGACCCAGGCATGCAAGCTGTATCTTAGACACCTAGGTAAGTAGATCCACAAATCCACAATATAGGTGGCAATCACACACTTGGTCTACTTGTTCCCAAGTACCCTCATGTCTCTTTAGCTAATTGCCTTATCCCAGGCACCAAATGGTATGCCTGATATGATACAGACGAATATTTCCTTGTCTGCCCTGCCTAGCTGCCCTGACTTCCCTTCATCATGTGTGATGCCAGCATTACTGCTCCAATGTCCTTACCCAAATATTAGAGGATTTCCTTGAATTTCACTGCAAGTGTTTCTTAGCCACTCTTCCCTACAATGGGAATTTACCAAAGGCATATCTTGTTCATTTTTAGAAAGATTTTCAAGCATCTTATCTTTGCTAAAGTCAACTACATTTCCTTCGTATTTATAAATATGACATAACTAGATAGCTGGTATTCCCAGCTTATTCATTCCCCAAGATATACTGCATTCAAGAGTCGGTCAGCATGGCCCAGGAGCTGTCATTGTTGAAGCTCAGTGTTATAGCACTTGCCTAGCATACATGAAGCACTGCGTTTGATCCCCAGCCGTGCACAACACACACACACACACACACACACACACACACACACACAGAGTCTGTGTTTGCCTGATATAGATAATGCTGTAGTTTACATAAGTGTAACTGTTAATAGCTAAAAAAGATGACTGCAAAAGATGGCTTTTGGAGAGGCCTTGAAGGATAGGTAGACAGGATTTGGAGATTCAAAAATAAAAGACTTTCAAGCTTAAGGCAGGGAATGAGCAAAGAAAAGGTAAAGCGAGGGCCAGGGATACAGCTCAGTGACACAGCACTCGATTCCCAGTACCAAAAAAAAGAAAGAAAGAAAGAAAGAAAAGGTAAAGGGAGTGTATGGAAGACAGCAAGAATTTAAAACTAACCCAAATAAAAATTATAGGAAGGTGCATAATAAGAAATAAGGCTGGGGGCTGGGGATTTAGCTCAGCGGCAAAAGCGCCTGCCTGGCAAGCGCAAGGTCGTAAGTTCGGTTCCCGGTACCAGAGAAAAAACCAAAAAAAAAAAAAAAAAACTAAAAAAACAAAGAAATAAGGCTGGCCAAGTTGGTAAGGGGTAGGCTTTGGAAGATTTTGGATCTTAGGCTGAGGAGTTTAATCTTATCTGTAGCAACAGGAAGCCAATACAGTCCAAAAAGAAGAGAAGTCAGGGGGATTGATTAGGTAACAGAAGTTCAATTAAAGAAGATGGGATGGAAAAGCACAAGTGAATATAAATTACTATATGCAAGAAGACTCAACAGTTCTTGGCAACTGATTAGGCATGGGGACGCAGGAAAGAAGACAGTTAAAGATATGTGAAGGTTTTGAAACTGGGTACCAGAAGAAGTAGCATCAGTAACTGGGAACAGGTTAAGAAGTAGTAAAAGCTCGGCTTGGTGCACATCTGTAATCCCACACTGTGGGAGGCTGAGGCAAGACAGCCAAGTTTGAGCCCTGTCTGAGCAGTTTAGCAATTCAGCAAGACCCTGTCTCAAAATTATTTAAAAATTTTTTTTCTTTAAAAAGGGTGGCCGGGTGTGATTGTGCACACCTGTAATCCAGCACTCGGGAGGCTGAGGCAGGAAGATCGTTGCAAGTTCGAGGCCAGCCTGGGCTACAAAGTGAGCTCAAGGCCAGCCTGAACTGCATAGCAAGACCCTGTTTAGAAAAAGACCAAAAATAAATAAATAAATAAATAAATAAATAAATAAATAACTTAAATAAATAAAAAGGGCTGGGATGAAGCTCAGTGAGAAGTTCCTGGGTGCAATTACTAGTATGGAGGCTGAGGGGGACAGTAAAACATGGAAATTAAAAGTACGAGTTAAGGAATCAGCATGTCTAGATTAATCCTGCCTGTACCACTTACTAGCTGTGGGGCCTTGGGCAAATTACTTAACCCTTTTAAGCCTTAGTTTCATCATCTAAAAAATGAAAATAAGTGAAACCCACCTACGGAGGATTCTGAAAAACACTGATGTTAGTTAGGTCCTGTGTCAGAAAGCCTGATTAAGTCTTTAGTGGTCTTGAGCACTAGTATTTTCAGGAGGCCTCCCAGGTGATTTGGATGTATGCCCATGACTGCAAATCTAAAGAGCAACTTGCAAACTGTGCCATTTTAATTAACAGGTAGTATAGTTATGTCCATGCATGGAGGTTTAGATAGCATACAAAGTCAGCAACACCTAAGCCTCAGACACCAAAAGACCTGACTGATCGTTTTTTGCCCAAATGCGTTGAATAGCCATTTGTGAAGCACAGAACTGCCAGAACTAAGACACTACACTTTGGGGAATGCTCCTGAGTTGAATTTCAGGAGCATTCTGAGAAGAAAATGAGACCCTGAAAATAAAAAGATGGAGATGAGGGTAGCTCAGTAGTACACTGCTTGCCCAGCATGTGTGAGGCGCTGGGTTTGCCTAGTACTGCTCAATACATAAATGATAAGGGCACCTGGGCCATGCTGACAGAGCAAAGGTTAAAGCATGACATAGTAAAACTCTTCAAGCAGCTCTTCCCCAGCTCCACTGGTGTCCAGGAATACAGAAAGAAAATGGAGATTAGCGTTATTAGGATGAATTTACCAAAAGTTACTCTCAATAAGGAATGACAGTGGAATCTTCCAGGAAAGCCACTGAGAGCAAGACAGGCTGCCTTGGCTAAATGACTTAAGGTTGGCTCCTACTGTACCCTTAAGAATCAATGTAACCAATTTCCAGTTAGAATAGAGTTGGAGGCTCCAAAAATCACAGTGCCCCATTAAACTCTCCAGGACCTACCTTTAAACTCCATGTTGGTAGCATCTTCCAGGAGTTCTTCCTTCATGGTATTAAGAGTCTCAACAATCATATCCTTCATTTCCTCCTGCTTTCGGTTAGCAATGTTCATCAGTGATTCATACAGCTCATTCTCTTTTTTCCGTGTATATTCCAGCCGTTTGGGAGTAATCTGCAGGTCCCGCTGCATATCAAAGGCCTGGTTAATGAATATGTCAAGGCAGTGGCAGTGCACCAGGTTCAGGGCCGTGGCCGCATCCACCAGACGAGCCTGCAATAGCTGGTGAGAAAAAGTGCTCAAGTGTTTCAGCCTCTCACTCTGTTCCACCAACATGCTCTGAGCTTTGATGTCCTGGCCAGGAGTTCCACAGTTCCAGTGAGAGCCACTCAGATAGCCCAGGTCAATTAGCTGGTGATACAAAGGTGATCTTTCATTCTCTGTTCTGGTAGTGGAGTCTATTATCTCCATCTTCGGCACTTTGAAAAAGAATATGGGGAAGGAGAAATACTTTCGGATTTCCTGAAGCTCCTGCTCATCCCTCTCAGACAGTTCATCTTTGTGGAGTGCATAGGTTATCACAGGCAAGAAATCATTCACCAAGTCACCCAGAACATCTACTGCAGGCCGGATACCTTGGCATGGTGCCACCACAATGTCCACTTCCTGGAGGGAGAATGGGATCATATCAGCACCTCATGGTCAGAACCAATCTTTGCCATCCCAAAATCCTACACTGAGACCAAAATCCAGATCTATGCTGGATCAATGGACTTCAGTGTGCTTAATCATCCATCCACCTCCTGCCTTGGTTACTAACACTCCTTGTGCAGCCTATGGAGGCAGGCACTCATCGAAAGAGAGTAAAAAACAAGTAGAAAGGATGTAGTCCCTTTAGCCATTTCAGATGAAAAGAACAGTTAGTCCCTGACTGTCATTGTTGCTTGGAAATTCTCACTTATTTCTTCTGATGAAGAAGTAAGAAAAATAATGAAGAAAAGGGAAATAATATGAAATCAGTCTGCCTGGAATATGCCTTCCCCTTACGCCCTCCTCCTCCTATGCCCCCATCCCCAACTTTCTGACCTGATTCCCAAGCATCCTTTAAACCTCAATGTGTAGGTCTTATTACTCAGAGTCTCCTGTCACATAATCCCAAGCACTCTTTATTTCCCTTTATTATTACTCAACATATTTAAAATTTACTTATTTAAAACCCATTTTGTGGAGCCAGGGATATAGCTCAGCAGCACAGTGCCTGCCTGGCAAGTGTAAGGTTGTGAGTTTGATTCCTGGTACTGAAAAAAAAAATTAAAATCCATTTTGTTTCCAATTAGCCTATAAATCCTGTGAGTGGAGGGACCATGCTTGACTTACTGTTATAATCCCAGTGCCTAGCACATACATCCTCAATAGTGTTGAACCAACCAATTATCAGCAAACTAAAAACCAAGTTTACCAAACATAACTACTGTCCTACTCTGGAATTTTGCAGGTATCCCAAAGTGTAGACATCTAAGTCTTGGTAACACCCTTAGGAATATGATCACTTGGTATGGCAGAAGCTAAGGTTTGCCTACCCAATATTTAGCCTCCATATTTTTGGAAAAGCAATGCTCTGTACAGACTGGGTGGGTCTTCTAGAAGAGCTTTCTGGAATGGGGTGGGGGCAGGGGTTCTAGCAGGAAGTATGCCCTTTGACCCAGCCCCGTCTTCCCGCCTGGATCACGGATGTCACAGCTACAAGAGCACTGTCTTACAAAGCTGATGGTGGGGCCACCACTAAAGGAGAAGGAGCGAAGGTCCATGCCAACTACTGAGCTGCCACACCAGTTCTCAACTCCCTAGCTGTAGACTCCTTTCAAATGAGGGAAGAAAAATTTACCTCTGCCAAATAAAGCTTCTTTCTGCAATGATCCATATTACATGTGACAGAACCCAATCTTGTCTATTATTCTCAAGTTCCTAAAGTTTCCAGAATGACCTTTGGTTTAGGAACAAACTTTCCACAGGTCCATTTCCTCACCTATAGTTTCTGCTTTTGTTTTCTATGTCTTTCCAGAGGAGTTGCAAAGCACTTAAAAGCACATATTTCTATTCCCTACAGAGGCTGCTCCTCATATTTCTGAAACTGTCCATGTAAAGGGGACCGGGGACTTGGGCCTGTATCACTTAGTGTGGGCACACAAAACTCTTAACGTCTCCAGAGGTCCGCAAACCCAAACCCTCCACAGCACTCGAGTGTGCCTCAGAGTTATGGAAGAACTCAGTACAGTTTATTTAAAATCTAGAAGATACATAATTTTCTTTATTTTCTTTCAGACTAATATCTACTTTCAATCCTTACATTATTTATGCACCAGGTATTTTTGATGAAAGGTTTAAAAAAATAAAATCCTGAAACCTTTTCCTTTTTGATATTCTTCTTTTCATAGAAAAAGACTGGGAAATGCCTGCCTATTACATCTAGCACGTGTTTTCCATTGATACACTTGTAGGTGTATTGTTTTTTGTATTCTTCTTTATCTTTTCCCTTCCCAGCAAAGCACAAAGGTCTCACCTTTCCCTCAAAGAACTAAGCTTTATTTGCAGGTAAATCACATGATGTTCCTTTGGCTGGCCACTTTGAACTCCCAAAAGCTAAACCACTTTTATTATCCCCTTATTTGTAATTTGAGCAAAACCTGCATAAATCTACCTTCTCCTCACCAAAGCCCAGGCCAAGAGGAATTTGCTGTTTCATCTGTGCCTCAAATTCCATAAAATGTGTACTGGTTAAAAAAAAACTACATTCATCTTGCTGTTCACAATAACCTCTTTCAAAGCCCTGGGTCACACATGCTAAGGTGTGAACAACTTCAGAGAGGCTTTTTAAAAAGTTGGTAAGAAATTTTAAGGGTTAGAATGAAACATAAAATTGCATAAATAATCACATCTAATACTCTAATTAGATAAAGACTAAAAGGGATCCCCAAAAATGAAAATAGTAGAGAATTACAGGTAGAAATTTTTTGTTGTTTTGTTTTTTGAGACAGGGTTTCACTATGTAGCCTAGGCCATCCTTGAACTAGCTATGTAGCCCAAACTGGCCTTAAATTTGCAAGCCTTCTGCCTCAGTCTCCCCTAGTAAGGGATTATAGGTATGCACCACCTCATGTAGCCAGAAAAAAAATTTTTTTTTTTTTCCGGTACTAGGAATCAAACTCACGACCTTGTGTTTGCCAGGCAGGTGCTGCGCCGCTGAGCTAAATCCCCAGCCCCCCAGAAAAATTTTCATATTCCAAAACTCCCCTACATTTATACATCTCAAAAAGATATAAATCAATCAGTCAATCAAACTATTGTGGGATTAAGGCCTAAATATTCAAAATCAAAGTATTATTTTAAATTTTTCAGAAGAATTTTGTTTCCTTATTTATTGATGTAGTGTTTTTTAACTCTATAATAAATTTTGAGGTTTTCTTCAAAGGACCATTTGTGTGTGCCAAGCCACTAAGTCCACTTATAGAACAAATACCTCTTTTAAGAAATGGTTGACTTTATTTGCTCATAGGTGCAAGTTCATTTTTCACAAAAAGTAGATTCAGGGCTTTCTACTCATAGAGTATGGCCTAATATATTGGCTACTAGAAGAAGCTGTCTACTCCTAAATATATCTTGTACTGAACAAAAATGGATAGAAAATAGGCATTGTGTTCTCTTTTCTCCCTCTTGGTTAACTCACTTATGCAGTTGGTCTCACTGCTGTATCATGACTGTCAGAAGACAGGCAAAGAGCTGCAGGCTAAGACCCCCCAGCAGTACAAATGAGACCGGAATGTGACTTGCAACTCTGCAATACTCACGAGACTCGGGTGATGGTTATAAACAAAAAGGGAAGCCAGCACTGTCTCCTAGAGACAAGGAGTAAAAAAATGAGTACAAAGAGAATGAACCATGGCCAGGAATCCACAATGACTACCTGAGACCAAAATCTAACCTGACTCTGTTACACGGAAATCTATACTTCTTCCCAGAACCCAATGCAGTAAGCATAAATAGAGTGAATTAATGAGGAGGTGATACCTTCCCTACTTGCTCATAACCACATTTAATCATACGTAAAAATTTCTCTTTCAACCCACATTCCACACATGGTATCCCACACATTTATCTGAAATTGCTGTTTGCCTCTACTCCAAGAATGAGCAGTACACATTTTGGTCCTAACTCAATCAAGGAAAAAAAAAACCTCAGAGTATAAGAATATCTCTCAATTTCCACTGTGAACCACACAAATTCCTACAGAGATTTCTCTTATAGAATGGATTCTGCACAAGATTCTTAAAAAATGTATTCTGTACAAATCCATGGAATTTACAGAAGTTGATCTGTTAGGATTTTCCTGGTAGGATTAAGTGAATGCAACAGAAGGGTGCTGGCTACTCTCCAAACACCAGAATAACACAAATTTAGTTTTGTGTTTTATATAAATGACACTATTTTAAATCGCAAAAGGCAATCAGCACTGAAGAAGGCTGATGGTTTCCTAAGAATATCAGCTCCTATAGGTAAGGACTCCTTACTCTATAGCTCACAGCATATTATTAAAGCTCAGTTATGGTGAAGGGTGATTATATTAACTGATGATTCAGACAAAAAACAGTTATGCACTCAGGCTAAACTTGAAAGGTAACAGATATCTTTGTTTTCTCCACCAGTCTACAGCCTCAGATTGACGTCACACAGAAAAGAAGTGCATACCTAACTAATTGCTCAGCAACTTTCATGCCCTTGAGCTCAGTCATAGTCCTCATATCCCAATCATCTTTACTTCCAATTCTCTTTCATTCCACTTTCACAGGGCACTTGACAAGTTTTTCCTGTTTGTTTTTCAACAGGATTGGCTCTGTTGTGTTTTTATACATAATTTCCTGAACTCCCCCTTAAATATGTTACATGTTACTGAAAACACCTCTCTACCCTTGTTATGTTGTAGAAAATACAATACCTTGACTCTCCTGAACACAAACATTTTCCAAGGGGGACTGCAACTGAATGAGTTTCTAGGCTATAAAATGCATTATAAGAAAGTGGGATGAACTCCACAAGACCCTGGATTTGATCCCAAGTGCTGCAAATAACATAAAATAAAATAAAGTGAAAAACTTGGGATTAATGTGAAGCCAATCCAGAACTTTACTCTAGCAGTCAACACACAGTGGGTACAAGCTCATCTCTTTACCTAGTAAAAACATCATGTGGTAACTCAGAGGCCAGACATAAGACCTGGAAAAAAATAATTACAAACAGTCCTAAACTTACCACAGAAAATACGAGACCATCATGGTAAAAGTAGAAATATATTTACAACCACAAAAACCCAAAGCCTTTAAGGATCTAAACTATGATCTCCATATCTCAGACTGTAATTGGTTTTCTCTTTCTTTTTTTTTTTTTTCTTTGTGGTACCAGGGATTGAACTCTCGACCTTGCGCTTGCCAGGCAGGCGCTTATGCCACTGAGCTATATCCCCAGCCCCTCAGACTGCAATTAGTAAAGTAACAGACAAGATGACCAAAATGTGCTGAAAAAGCCTCTCCTTAGGGAGAGTCATCTTACTTTAAGGAGAGTCAAACACCAAGGTTTTCACAAGTGCAAATAAAAGTTTGAATCTGAAGCTTTATTCCCTTACCACTTACTAGATTCATGGAGACAGAGATAAAAAAAAAAAAAAAAAGAGAAGAGAAGTAGAATAGAAAAGAGAAAGAAGGAAAGATTTTACCTTTTAGCTTTTATATACTTCTGTATTTTTAAAAAATTTTTATTAGTACATGTTTGCAATACATAATGGTTACATTCATTGTGGGGAACTGGTACATGTACATAAGACATCTGTATTACTTCTTATAATACCTTCCTTCTTTCATCTTATTACAAAAGTGTCATAAGGAATTATAAACAATATTGACTCTGATAAGACAAAATAATAACTATAAGTTAGCTGGATGGAACAGGAAGGATTTAAGTTGGATAAAAGGACTTCCGGGGTGGAATTGGATGGGTGACAGAGTAAGAAACCTCCCTCCTTCCCCCCCTTACCTACCCTTTACCCTCCTTCCTTCCTCCTTTTCTTCCTTACACAGGATCTTGCTAAGTTGCCCGGGCTGGCCTCAAATTTGTGATCCTCCAGCCTCAGCCTCTCAAGTAGTTGATATTATAGGTGTATACCATCACACCAAGTTCTGCTATTAATTGAGGGTTATAAAGAGAAAGCTTCATTACTATGGAGTTTTAAAATACATTTGTTTGCAAGTCATTGACCTTGTCTGGAAATATTAACCTCCCTCAGTTTCCTGAAATATACCCCACCAGATAGCACCATAAACCAATAACCCATGTCAGTTCTGTGGCACTTTGGCTGCCAGAGGACATGCGTATCTGTCCAAATGGCCAGAAAACACCTGCTGGGATAAATGATCTATGGATAAGAGCAAAACAACTGAAGCTGCACAACTGTCACAGTAAATGAAACAGCACTATGAGGCTCCAGGAGCCCCATCTCAAGCTTAGCAAGTGTAATCACCGCTGCTGCTTTTTATTCCTTCTCTTATGGATGCTCACAGGAATCTCTCTCTCTCTGTCTGTCTCTTTCTCTCTCTCTCTCTCTCTCTCTCTGTCTCTGTCTCTGTCTTTCTCTCTCTCTCTCTCTCTCTCTCTCTCTCTCTCTCTCTCTGTCTGTCTCTCTCTGTCTGCAGACTGAGCAACTGTCGGGTGGACAATAATTCCATGAGATCTGTAAGAAGAAATACAGAAGAGGTGGCAGATGTATGTCTAAGAAGAGGAGTGAAGGTGAAGTACATTTCCCTACACCAAGACAGAGCTAGTGAATATGGGGAATGGTGAACCATGCTGCCAATTGGAAAAATACTGTGTTTTAACACTAAATGAATTTCAGGTACAAATAGCTTGACAGTGTTCCTTTTTTACTCAATTAATAATTGAGAATCTCAAGGGATCCACAACTAAAAAGCTGGCCTATGCATTGGCCTGTTCTGGAACAAACTGAAAACAGCTAATTTATGAGGACTTTAAAGTAACGCTTTAGAAGAATAACCATTGTATAAGAGGGCAGGGGAAAATTCTGCTTTGATAATTTGACAGTTCAAAATGAACATCCTATTTCCCCTAATTCAATCTTTGTTTCCTTTAGCCAAAGGTTTCCTTTCTTTGCCACCCACTCTATAGACCAAACAGAAGGGCTATTTAGCATGAACTCACTGGTCCTAAATATAACTGAAGTTAAATAAAAAGATTTTTCTCCCTGGCATAAACAGTCTTCCAGGTAGCTGTGCACTGCTCCCTGGAGTGAGCTGAGCATCTCTGATCTGCTTCACAGACAAGAGACCAAATGTAGCAAAAGGACCTGAATCCCATGAAGGTGGCAAGGCCCTCTGTGGCTTAGCATCAAGGGGTTCTAAACTTAGACCAGTAGGGTCTGTTACCATTTCTACATCAAAACTGCTAAAGTATAAAGCAGATCCGGAGAAGCACTGGCAAAGGAAGCCTCACCAACCACATGAAACAACATGAGAGGCTAGAGAATTCCTCAAGAAGAGCAAGAATCCTTATTAGAACTGTACCAAGAAAAAGCTGATTCAATATCACAAGTGACTGGTCTCCTAAATTGTGACAGCAAATCTGCATTCTTAGCACACACACACATATTCAGAGCAGGCCCAGGAGCTCTTAGTAGTAAGATGTGTACAGATATGCACTTGGGGAACAGCTTGGCCTTTCCTTGCTGTCACTTTCTTGTATCACTCCCACTTACAGAACAAAAATAAATGAGCATTAGAAATTTAAAGGAGTAAAGGCATGGTGGCATACACATGTAACACCAGCATTCTGGGAGGCTGATTGCAAGTTTGAGACCAGCTGTGCAAATTAGTGACTTAATATGACCTTGTCTCAAAATAAAAAATAAAAAAGGGTCAGGGATATTGCTCAGTGCAAAGCACCTGCATTCAAATCCCAGTACCACAAAAACAAAACAAAAAGTTTGCATGTGAGAGAAAGCAAGCAAACATGCAATTTAAGCCATATAGGGTTTGGGTGTAGTTCAGTGGCAGGGTACATGAAGTCCTGGATTAGATCCCCAGCACCACCAAAGAAAGGGAGGGAGGCAGTAGGCAAGTAAAAATGAAGGCAAGGAGAAGAGGGAGAGAGAGAGGGAGGGAGGGAAGGAAGGAGGGAGGTAAACAAGGCAAGGGAGGGGATAGAGAGAGAAGGAAAAAAGAGAAAGGAAGGAGGAAAGGAGGGAAAGGAATTTAAACCAATAAATAAAGGGACACTGAGAAATCAATCAGGTAATTTGCTACAGATGGCTTTGTTCTTTCCATGATTGTAATAGGAAAAATCACCATCTAGCTCGTAGCAGACATTTCAGCTACTTGATAGTTTTTTTTAAGCAGCAGGTCACAGTGATCAGGTCACAGTGATCAGGTCACAGCACCAATTTAGTGGGTTGCTGCCATCAGTTTTTAAAAAATTAAGTCAAAAAGAAAATTTCAGTGTGCACTGCATCAAGTAAAAGTTGCTTCATGAAACTTATTATAGATGTATATGCATATCTATGTGGTAGGTATGTATATATCTTTCTTTTATACTTTTTTAGGAAATTTTATTGCGAATAGTTGAAGTTTACAGTATGTGATGGGATACATACAGATAATAAAATGGTTACTATAGAGAAGCTAATCAGCACATCTATCATCTCAGTTTTTCTGTGATAAGAAAAGCTAAAATCTAGTCATTTAACAAAACTGCCTAACACAATTTTATTCACAATTTGATTTACTATAGACCACACCTTGAACTTTAGATTTCTAGGTTTGTTGCGATCTAAATACTTTGTATCCTTTAACCTCCATCTCCCCATTTCTTCCTCCCAACCTCCACCTTCTTCCCTGTTTTCGTTCTTTCTTTTTTTAAGATCTCACATATTAGTGAGACCATACAGTATTTTTTGTACTTTTCTTTCTCTGTCTGGATAATTTCACTTAACATAATATCCCCCAGGTCAATCCATGCTGTGGCAAGTGGCAGTGAAATAAAATCTAAAAACTTCTGAAAACTAAGCAACTGGAACCATGAACTAAAGTGCAGCAGTAGTACAGAGAGATGGTATGTGAGTCAAATACTGACACATTGTGAAAGAGTTCATGGGTCAACTAACCAGGCCTCGGTCAACAAACAAGAATTACTGCTAGAGTTTCCCAAGAATTCTCACACTGTCTTGGAGCTCAAAGTCTAAGTTCTCAGTCTCAACACAGAGAAAACCTAGCCCTAAAACTCAGATGAGAGAAAAAGGGGGCTTATTGCATAGCCCCTCTAGCATGTCAAGATGAAAGAAATAAGGGCTGTGGAAAGAAATGAAAAGGCAGTTTCTACTTCTAGAGTCTCACGGACCGTGCCACAACCAAAGGACCCATTCACTGCCTGAGGGGCCACACTCTTAGGAGAGGGGCAGAAAAAGAGGTGACAGGGAAGAAGTAAATCTCAAGCACTTCCAAACTAGCCCCTCCTTCCTGGCATGGCTGCCCATGGTGATGAACTTTCCATTCTGAGCAGGACCACTCTTTCATTCCTTCCTGCTCCTGACCCGACACAGTTGCATCCTTTGTGGATTCCCATTTGGTCTGGTCAGGTGGCCTAAACCTATCCAGTAGCCAAGGAAGCCCCAAAGTCAGAGGACTCCATCCTACGTGGAGGCAGCATATGAGACAGACAATATGCCCTCCGAGCAGACGCTGCAGCTCCTGCGCTCTCTTTGGGAGTTTACTTCAAGAGAGAAACCAAGATGGCCGGGCCACACATGGCTCTTCACAGTGAGACAGTGTGCTGCCCAGCTCAGTAAATGCATGCCTAGTGCTAGGAAAAAGCCACACAAATTTTCACTTGATCTCACTTCTAATAAGAACATTAATTATCCACTGTCTTCTTGTTCTTTCACAAAGGGATGGCTAGAGACAATTCCAGCAACATCTTCCTACTAAGCAATGAAAAGGGGTTTTTATGTTGATGACAACTAGTCTGTAAAAGCTTGTCAAGATGTAATTGTTACATATTCTTTTTCTTTCAGAACAGGAGACTAAGAGGCGAGGAGACAAGCAAATCACTTAGGGCCTTGAAGCATGTAAGCAGAGGAAGGGATATTATCTCTTTTCAACTTTTGAGGTTATGTTCCTCTGACTCCAGAAGCTGCTGCTAGAGTTCAGAGTAAACATCACCAAACTACTTTTTCATAAAGTCAAAATAAAAGCAAAGTTGGCACATACATATACAATTGGTATATGAGTACAAGATTGGTACCTTTAAGAGGGCATGTTGCACTGTCACCTCCAGCTCGGCTAAAACATGAGCAGCATCCTTACTGTCCCCTTGGACCTCCAAGTCCTCCTCAGGGATGGTCTCCCAGTTGCCCTGGTGAGCAGCCAGTGTATGTACTAGTTCATACTGTCCAGGGAGCGCCAAGCTGACCCGAGTCTGAGTCCCATAGGTGAAGCGGAGTCGCCGCAGTTTACAGCTGTCTTCAGTACCCAGCCTGGTGGTAGGAAGCACCTGCACCCCCAGCAGCAGGTTCAACAGCTGGCACTTGACATTACAATCCTGGCCGAGGATCAGTATGCAGGGAAGGCAGTCCACAATCTGCTGGAGGTACGTCTCTTCCTTAGGTGGGAAGGAAATGCAGCTCAGCTGGCCTGGTTGGAGAAGGGAGAGTGGGGGGAAAAGGAGTAGAGAGAAAAAAGTGAGGAAGAGTTAGAAGGACTCACACAGAGAATCCATGAGGATGTCAGGGTCCTAAAGCACAGGGGGCAAACTTATGGCACATGTACCACAGCGGGCTGTTTGTTACTGAAAGCTCTAAAAGTCTTCTCTTCCCTGTCCTAGAGGAAACATTTCCAGGAAACTCTCAGTTAAAGAAGACATTAGGAAAACATCCCAGTCAGAAAAAGTTCCTCAAATATCAAACAGAGCTGTTCTCCCCAAGGAACAAGAAGTTATTTCTACCCTGAAAGGTGGCAGTGACCTGATCTTGCCTGCCCACACCCTCCTTCATCCAGTGCAGGATGGCCTACGGAGTTACAAGGACTCTGTCACAAACACAAGTACATTAAAATGACAGTAATCAGGACATGAGTCCAAAGAAAAACCACACCTGAATGTGTCAAAATTAAAACCTCCTCCTGACAGAAGACCTAAAATGTGAACATATATGACCCTTTTAAATGTCTCTACTATACGCAGTTTTAGTTTATGCTCCTCACTTATGACATATTTTGTAACTAAATGCCTCAGCTGATCTGTACATGCATACATACACTGAAATGAAAGTGTGCAAGATTTCCTGAGCCCTAGAGTATTTTCAGTTCATCTCTCTGCTTTCTTAAAGCATCAGGTGCTCAATCAGGATTGATACTTCCTAATCAAGTCACATTCCTTCCACTTATGGATGACAGGTCCCAGAATAAGATAAAGGTCTTTAACTCCTGCTGGGATAAAATCCAGGGAAATCTAGAAAGAGATGTGATCTATCTCAAAAAATACTGTCCTTTCAAGACAACCACCACAAATCTAACTGGTTAGCTTCCCCAAACAGATTCAAACAGTACTGAAGAAAGAACAAAAAGTGTCCTAAAACGTGATAACCTCCTGTGAGGAAAAGAATTGGAAACTGGTGTCCTGAAACTTCAGCTTCAATTCAATCCTTTCCCATTTCTTCAGCACCAGAGTCACCTCCATTTAAGATTTAGAAAGGCCAATCTCTAAACCAAACACTATATCATGATTGAAGTTTTGGGGGTACTACTAACTAAAACAGTATTTGCTTTAGTCACTATGCCATAAACCACAAGAAACCACTTTTATATTGACTATTTTACGCATATAATTGAAACAAGAGGCCTGATTCACTAAAAGCTGGCTCTACTTCAGAACGTACCTGCTACTATCTCAAATCCTCAGGCTTCCTTCTCTTTCACAAACAGCACCAGCAAAAGAGTTTAAAGAGGTCCATATTTCTTCTCTGCATTTCAGTAAGCCCCTTGCTTTCATGTCTGCCTTTAAGTGCACCACCCTGGCCTGCACACATTCATTAGCAAATCAAAGGGCTGGGGATTTAGCTCAGAGGCACAGCCCCTGCCTGGCAAGTGCAAGGTTGTGAGTTCAACTCCCAGTACCACAAAAAAAAAAAAAAAAAAGCAAATCAGACACTGAACTAAGGGAATCTTCCAGGAAATAATTTCCTCAAAAAAGTGAATATAGAGTATTCAGTGAGTGCCTAACTCTCTCTTTACTAACTACAAAAGTATATATCACCAAGCCACATGTGGTGGTGCGTGCCTATAATCAATCCTAGCACTGCGGGAGGCTAAACAGGAGGATCACAAGTTTGAGGCCAGCATGGGCAACTTAGCAATACCCCCATCCCTAAAGAAAAAATAAAGTGCTAGGGATGTAGCTCAGTGTGAAGGCCCTGGGTTCAATCCCCAATACCCCCCAAAAAGTAAAACACCAAGCTATGGGCTAATCTCTAGCCTACCATCTAAAATCACAGGTGCATAGTAGTAGTCCATGTGACCACTTAACAAGTACCCATCCTTTGTACCTTGTTCACAATTATAGACTTATCACAGTTCATTCTCATTATCTATTTAGAATCATTAAAACCCCAAAGAACCACCCTACTGCTCTCTGTTCCTTAACACCCACTACAATGGCTGACACATAGTACATGTTTAAAGTTATACATCTGTTTGTTCTGTGTAAGAACCCACTTATGGTGGAGAATTGTCTACAGAAAGCTATAAGTGAGTCCATAAAGTATTTCAAAAAGCATAGTATGATGATGAATAGTTTAAGGGGAACTAGCACAACATGGAGAGAAGATATGGACAAAAAGCGGGGTCTCCTCCACTCATCCTGCAGAATGCTACCACCTGCTCTCAGCTGGGGCAGTAAGAAGTCCAGCCAGACTTTCAGCTACTCCTCCTAGCTTTCCTCTTCTCTTAGTCCCCCCAGATTCTCCATTCACATTGACAACCTTCACTTGCCTTTCCTAAAAGTTCTTTCATAATTTTAAAAAAAGGGGGACAAAGCTAAATGAGCTTTGTTACTGCTACTACAAGAGTACATGTAACAGAGAAGAAAAGCAACTGCACCACTTTTCAGGACCAGAAGGAGAGGTCACACCCCTCCGAGACTGTTTCAGAGAAGGAAAGCCAGTAAAACATGCTGTAACAGCCTGAACCACAGCAGACACACCCCATTATTCATCTGACCCAAATTATTACCTCCCCTGCTCTATTTCTCCTACAAAAACAGTCACCACAAATAAACCTGCTACTGTCCAAACAATAAAGACCAGTGAGGTAGGAAAGGAGGCTGATGTTGAGCCCAGTTCTGTTTCCAAGCACTCTCCAAAGGCTCCTTGTGGAGCCTACTGCCCTGAAGAAAGCTCCTCAAGATAGTTGTTGTGGTTTGGGGTTTTTGCAGTGGGAAATAATATAATACAGGACACATATTTTATAAGATTATTTTATAAGTCACCCAAAGAACCATATACAAAGACTGCAGGAAATCTGTCCACACAGTAAAGACCAAAGAACCCAGCTGAGGACCTGGATCCCACGATAATGTCCTGCATGAGTTCAGCTAAAGACTTAAAGCCCATAACAATGCCTCACATAAGTCCAACTGGAGGCCTAGAGCCCATGACAATGTCTCACACAGGCCTGTTTCAAGGATCTGCACTGGAAAGGACCAAAGGTCAGTGGTAGAATCTAGAAAGTCTGTGCCAGGGGGATGAAGGATCTGTGCTGGCAGGCTGAGGGATCTGAACTGGAGCCAGGAAGCAATGCTCAAAATAAGAACCAGAGCTCCCCCAAAAAGTACCCCAGCCATCCCCAGCAACAGTGAGGTCCCAAGCTCCTCCAATCATGAGAAAATCCGAGTTCCACTGGGAAAGCCAATGCAATAAGCTTCTCCAGGAGACTGAGCAGTGCACCATCTTCCCCTCCAGAGCCAGGAAGCGATGCTCAAAGTAAGAACCAGAGCTCCCCTAAAAAGTACCACAGCCATCTTCAGCAACAGTGAGGTCCCAACCTCCTCTGATGAAGAGAATAGCCAAGTTCATCAGGAAAGTCAGCATGACAAGCTCCTCCAAAAGAACCAACAGCTCCCTAACAGTTTCCCAACAGCTTCTACCAGCTCCCAAAAGCCTCAAAATTTCTTCCTCTCTAGTTCTGCCTCTTATGCTGCTGGCAACAGTCCTCAAGTGGGCCTCCCACACCCAGCACCATGCTGATTCAGTTCAACTCAGTGTTGTAAGTTGACCACTAGTTGTCAATCCACCACAATTGTCACTGCTATCTATCTCTGGTTTGTTTTGTTTTGTGGTGCTGGGGGTTGAAGCCAGGGCCTTACGGATGCTAGGCAAGTGTTCTGGCGCTGGGCTACATCCCCAACCTTTTTTTGTGTGTGTGGCACTGAAGATTAAACCCAGGGCCTTCACACTGAGATACATTCCTAGCCTTTTACTGATTTATTATTTATTTTGAGGTGGGCAGAGTCTTGCTAAGTTGCCCAGGCTGGCCTTGAACTTGTGATCTTCCTATGTGAGCCTCCCAAGTAGCTGGGATTCCAGATATGTGCTACCATGCCTGGCTATCTGTTTTTCCAAACACCACTATCTAAGCCTTCTGTTTCTCCCACAAATCATTTGCTTTTTCATTAATCTCCAACATGCCTATAAGATTTAAACCAAGGCACAGATAGAAATGCTACTGAAAGAAGCTGGTCTTCCAGCGTGCTCCTCTGGGCACACAGCTAATGTGACGAGGCATACAACATGGGAGTGGGAACAGCACTAGAGCGAGGACAGATGTTCTGAACCCAGGCTTCGCCACTGACTAGCTTTGTGACCCTCGCAGTCTGCTTGCTCTCTCTGGGCCTTGAACTGTTCATCTGTAAACTGAGAGAGTTGGACAGTACATATCTGACATCCTTTTCAGCTCTTAAATTCTATGTTACTATATTTTTTAAACTGTTGAAAGAGTAAAGACATAAAGGAGATGGCAGGTTGATCTGGTTATTTTTATTTTACTTTAAAGTATATGTGAAATTAAATATGCAGGCTCCCTCAAGGATTACTGCAGATCAAAAAGTTGACTGAACTAGCCAGGGGATCTGAGTGCAGTCTTTTCAGTCTCCAAAGAAGAGATTAAAAGCTGTAGACTGGCAGTAGGAGGGAGGAAGGAAACCTGTTACAGAGCTGCAGCAGCTGCCTTCCTGACAGTTAAAGGACTTCTGAGTTAATAGGGCTTTCTTTGGTAATTAATATAACAGCATCTGCATATGAGCTGCCAGAAGGTAACAGCATGGCTCCTCAGCTGGCGCACATTCACCCTGCCAACTCTGGCTGCAGGAAGATTCATATCCAATTGTCTTAAGTGCAAACCAAGGCTTTTCTTTTTCTTCTTTTTTTTTTTTTCTTGGTAGTTGTTCTTAAATACACATTATCTTGACTGGAGCTACTTCTAAATAAAAGTTTCAAGTTAGAAGGAGAAAAAGAACAGCACACTGTCTTGTTTATTTGTTCTAGATAACACCTACTGAGCCCTTTGCATGTACTCATCTCTTTATCTGCTTCATCTTATTTAACTGCTCACAATTCAACAGACAAGGTCTATTATTATCTTCA